GTGGGGGAGGGGGGGTGGAGGGGGGAGAAAGGAGGAAATGAAGTTCTGATCGACCATGAAATAAAACCGCCGGTGCTGCTCTTAACCTTTTGCGCGGCTCTTTTTTTTTCAGTCGAGGAAAGAAATAATAGATGCCGGGAAAGTAGCCGTCGAACATTTTCGAAGGAACGAAAACTTGCATTGCATAATCCGTACTCCTTCTTGCAGCCAATTTTCAAGCTTGAAACTCTTAAAACAATTACGAGTTTCGTTAACTCCCTCATCCAATTCATCGGAATACGATCGAACGTATTTGCAGATTGCAGAGACAAGCCTACTCGAAAATGGTTCTTGGTACCTTTTCAAATACGAAATTCGTCGAGCTTGATCCATCTCGAAGGAACGTGAGAGAAATTCAGCTACGGCGAATTGGGTCGCAGGTTTGAACCTAAACTTCTCCACTTTTCTGAATATATTTTCCGAAAGAAGCATTGTGTACAGATCGATATGTAACGGACTCGTAAAAGTTGGTGTAAATTTTCTCCGCCAAATCGGAACCACTTGCGTCCGTGGAAATTAAAACTGGAAATTGAAAACAGACGGGGGATTTTTTGTTCCAGTCCAGTCTCGGTCGCTTTGCTCCATCTGTCACCTCTTCATCTAACGAGGCAAGAATCCTATCAAACTTGGAACAAACTCATTTAGTGATACCCATTGATCGATCAACCACTGATTGGGAAGAAACTAATCCGAATACATGATTGACTTTTAGGACATTCAAGAGAACAAAAGGCGGTCATCATGGAAGTCTTGAGTGAAATGCACCAAGTGTGGAAGCACTTTGTCCGCTTGATTCTTACACCTCTTCTATGTGACTGCCTGCACAGACGCCAGCCCATTTCCAATTTGAGACATTTTTAAAGTATATTTTTAAAGCAAAGTTCTCACGGCCTCGATTTGGCACTGCAAATTCGGATAATTTCACTTGCCTGTTGGGAACATATCTGTCTGTGAGCAGTGCACACTTCGTGAAAACATCTTCCGTAAGAGTAGAGATATACGAACTTAACTTTTTTTTTTTTACCACACCCTGTATGTAGCGGGTCCGCTGAGTTAACTCGCGATGTTCATAGGAACGGAGCGCTTCTCTAACGGCTTCGAAGCTCACGGACGCCGCTTTCCTGTCAAAGGATTGAAGGATGACGAGAAAGTATCAGTTTCTCCAGTGTTTCCTCCGCCTGGGCTCGCCGATTCGAAACACGCCCGCTTTTCGCACTCGCTGACGTCACCGTGATGAAGAGGCGGCCTTCTGTTCCGCTCCAAAGAGCTCAATTCATCTGATGAGCGACGGAGTGGTAGCGGAGGATCGAACGCAATCGCTCCGGTGGCACAGCGGGAGCGCTCAATGACTCAACGCCCCCACCGAGACGGATCGGCAAGAGCCTTTAGATTCCCATGGGGGGAATTTTCAGAGGCGGATGGGCGCTGGCTTCTTTCGGCCGATCAGACCAGTAGAATGATAGCGCCTTGCCACGGCCGCACCTAGCTTCCTGACAAAGGGAAGGCCAAAAATGTTCTGATTACAACCCTTCCCTTCCCCCCCCCCCCTGCCGAACGAATAAAGATTCCCTTACACTTGGCTCTTCTACCACTCCCCGCTCGTCAGCCCTGCCAGGCTGATCCCGGGGGGGGGGGGGGGGAAAAAGGCCCGGGA